TTTTTCCAACTATTTAAGTTGTTCTAATAAATGATATCGGATTCACCCAAAGAACCTTGCCTCAAATTATAAGAAAATTATAGTTTTCCATGTATATAAATGAATTATTAGCAGGCCCTCTTAAATTTGTGCCCACCACTACAACAGGGAAAGTGGTGGAAGAGAAAGCAGCCAGACACCCACACCATGCCCCCAGTATCTGTTCCTGTCTGCCTGCCACCTGTCTCTCCTGCCATTTGTCACCCCTCTTCCTCCCCACCCCGAGCTGCCTGCACCCATGACCACTTGCCCAACCTCTGCCTGCCACCTTCCCTCCCAGCTATTTGCCCTACCCCATGCTTTTAAAGGGGTGAAGTTGATAATACTATCTGCAGCAAAAGAAATAGCTGGGGAGGAAGGCTCCAGTCTCTTGGACTGGCTGGGAGTATAGCAGATTTTGGACTATTGTGGGACTACTGTGCAAGTAATGATAATACAAGTAATATGCGGTTTCACTCCTGCCTTTATTTTAAATACCATATTCCATCTTTGCATTGTAAAAGAAGTTTAAATTGTTGCTAAACAAAATGGAGAGTTCTGCTGATCTGAAGCTTCACCTTCTGTCTGTCACCCATTTATTTTGCAAGAGCCAGTAAAATATTCACATGCCTTCTTAACATTATTATTTCAAGCACTTTGAATTCTTTATCTTACCATAGTATAAGTATGTGCCACCTTCAGGAGTTCTGTGCAACCCTGAGCATCTCCAAATGAACGAATCCCTAAGCAGTTTGAAGGATGGAGTTGCTTCATAAGAAAGTTGCAACACACCTCAATGACTTGTGACAGTTGTAGAAGACAAGCTGCAGCTAGCAGGCTTTCTATAGTGTCTTCCTTTAACTCTAATATACCTGTATGGTTGACATAAAGGAATTGATGAGTTAATTCATTTGCCAGTTATTTCCTCCCATAGATGTCTCTTTTTGCATTTTCTCTCAATAACTTTCCTCATCTGAAAGTTCACAAGAATAATAGGTGCTAAAATTCACAAACATTTGACCAGCTATGGATGCATGCATGCATGTGTATATATTGCACAGATAATGAGTTTGAATATTTATACTGGGCCTAATTTTATATTGGGCCTAATTTGGCTTTGAAAAGTGAAATAAGGAACAGAGAGGTAATGATCATAGATCTTTTAAAAATAAAAAATACACAGATTTTTTTTTAGACTTGTGCGCAACGCATATAAAACCTTGATAAACATCATTATTGAGGTTGCAAAGTCACATATTCAAAAATTAGTAGAATTAAGGTTCCTTGGAAACTGGGACCTGTCTTATTTTGTTAGTATTTCTATGCAAACATCAACATGTTAAGTGATCTGCTAACACAAGAACCCTTTTAACATCTACTTTTACTTATTTTTACCTTTTAAAGCACTAGCAGTCTAGCACCTGGGTAGGAACCACAGTTCTTTATCAGTTCCCATTCTGAAGCTAATGTTTGAAAAAAGGCACCTCATTCGAAACAAACCAGTTAGCGAGAGTTTGAGAGGGAGAGAATAGAGAATGGAGTGGCAGATTATAGTAATGATGATTATGTAATAAAACAGAAAAGCTCACCTAGAACTGCAGATAACATTTGGCTGAGTGGGAGACAGCACATCTCCATACCAGAGTGCATGCAAGGGCATTATTCTAGATGTAAATAAACTGTTATATTCTGGGAGAGTAATTTTCTATCCAAGGCACAGTCATAAGGAAAGAGACACATTAGATGCACATTTAAAAGCTTGGGCAGTTTTGGGGTTTGTTTGTTTTTTGGCTTCTGTGGTAGAGTGAGCTTTTATCTGGCTAGTATGGTTTGCCAAAGAGCCGGTATCTACAGCCTTCCAGAGTTTGTATATCCTGGAATCATGTGGATTTTTTTTAAATTGGATTATACACTAGAGTAACAGATTTCCCTTTTACAGCATTTTCCCATGGACATTTCAGAGCATCAGGGAAAGAATAATTTCACGGTTCTCTGGTCTGGTCTTTTTTAGCTGTTGACTATCGTCTCTAAGGTTTATACTAGAAGAAAATGTTGAGGTAGATGGGTATGGAGAATAGTGAAAGAGAATAATAGAATAGCAGGAAAACATGCAGTCACTGTCCTGCCATATTGATCATATATGTATTTTTATTTTTCCTCAGAATAAGAGTTAGTTAGTTTTCTTAATTTATCATCTCTAGTTGATAGTGTATTTCATGAATACATTTTCCCATGAACTATTTGTATATCTAAACCCTAATATAAAATGTGTGATGTGAAAAATTATTTGCACATATGACAGTTTTTACCTCTCTTTACAGAGTAAAAATATATATATATATTTGGGAATTACCTGTATAAGCATAGTGCACCAGAGCCTTTAGTGCATCTGGGTCTACCCCTTCCATTTTGATTTCTTCTTGTTTTGCTTCTCTCACATCATTAGTAAACATTGCCGCAAAATAATCAGATACAGCACTAAGAACCAACCTTGAAATGAAAGCATTTTAGGAAAATGTAAATTAGTTGATAATCTAAATAGAAAGCATGAAATTCAGTCCATTATATGATACATAGGAGTGTGCAATAGGAATGAATTTTGTAAGACTAGAATATTTCATTGGTAGGGAATGAAGCTCAAAGGGTAATTAAGTAATCCAATTTTCTTTCAGAGTGCTTGGTTGTGCTGTTTTGCTTCACTGGTCTCTTTAAAGCTTGACTGTAGGAAGGGAGAAAAGAAATGGATTTTACTGGTTCATCTTTGACTTTCTTTCTATTTACAATAGTGACTATGAAGCTGTGATCACATTAGTTACCTTGGTTGATGAGCTAATTATTATAACTTCATTCATAACTAATCAGAGGCAACATAGGAGCATATATTATCTTAGCTTTTGGAAACGTCAGGTTTTAAAGCCTCTAAAAAGCAAGAGGAATTCTACCTGTGAGCTGGAATCTTGTGTTCTCCAACAATGAGAAGAACATCGCACAGCTGTTTTTGCTGGAGATAGTTCTCCATTTTGCGGAATGTCTGTTCTGCATGGTTTGTAGATTGGAAGTATTCATCTGAGCCACCGGTGTTCATTACAGTTGGTGAACAGTTTGTTATTGAAATTCTGTAGAGAGAAAGAGTTGCTGGAGCATAATAGGACAGAATCCACTTTTCACTTGACCTTTAACTGAGTTACAGAAATTGCAGTATAACAGAAATTCTTAAAGAATATTGATCCAATAATACTAGACTTTGTCATTTCTCATTTCTTTTTGCTGGTTATACTGAAAGACTGAAGGTTGTTTTACTCCTTACTTTAATGTAGTTTTCTAAGATAAGGAAACAAAAGCCATGATGGTTGATGGGTTGAGCACTGTATTGGGATTCAGGGGACCTGGGTTCTAATTTTTGCTCTGTAATGGCTAGCTGACAGTGGGAATGGGAATGTCATTCACCTCCCCATCCTTCAGTTTTTACATTTGTAAAACAGGGACCTCTTATAAAAACTTTTTGAGATCTATTAATTAAAAATACAATGGCAGTGTAGGAGTGATGTTGTAGCTGTGATGTTCCAGAAATTGTGAAGCAAGATTTCTTAGGGTGATATCTTTTATTGGACCAACTGTAAGGCTGGGATAGAGTTATTCAAGCTTTTGAATACAAGGCATTCTTCATCAGGTCTAACCAGAACAAACCAAATGCAGCATTATTCTGTGTTCTTGTCAGACCTGATGAGACTGTCTAGCATTCAAAAACTTGTCTAACACTATCCCAGCAATACAGTTGGTCCAATAAAAGACATCACCATAAGAAATCATTGACTCTTCTAAAAATACAATGTAAAACAGTATATCTAGCACCTAATTCTGCACTAAATTTAGTGGCTAGTTCCCCTGGCTTCTGTGGACCCAGAATCTGACAAGAAAGTGTATTTATTCTTGACCCCTTATTACCGTTCAGAGGATTCTTGCTTCACTCTATATTGTGTGCATGTGCTCACAATTTATATACTGTATGTATGCAATACATTTATAGTGCGCACACATTGATTCAAGGTGTGGAACAGTCTTTTCACAAATACTTGCTTTTTCACTGAATGTATGGAGGAAAATCAATCCTTGCCGTAACACCTTTTAAATACAGTGGAGTTGCACCCATGATTAATTTGACTACTTAAGGACTAGTTGAAGAGGGGTAAATACCCAACCATGACTGACATCTAGCATAATTCATTCACTGACCAATTTGCCATAGCTGCCGTAGTTGATTAAGAATGAAGTTCAAT